GGATAGGAAGGAAGGAAGGAAGGAAGGAAGGAAGGAAGGAAGGAAGGAAGGAAGGAAGGAAGGAAGGAAGGAAGGAAGGAAAGATGGAAGGAAGGAAGGAAGGAAGGAAGGAAGGAAGGAGAGCCTCCTGGGCGCGTGAAATGAGCAACATGCACCTTCAAAGCCACTGCCTGGACCTGGATTCCAGTCTCTGTGCTACTTCTCTGGGGACATTTCTGTCTTAAATATTATCTCTAATAATGTAATTTAAAAAGCTTTTATCTCTTTAAAGGGAAATCTGCACATCAGGAACTTCTGGTTGTGGGTGGTTGACACCATCCTCTAGTTAATTTCACACTGACTGTCATGGCATTTATTTATTTGACTTAGACTTCTTAACCACCTAGAAGATGGGGATAACTAGGTACTCAGCGAATGTATTCTGACCTGACCCTCATTGAGCATAAACAGAGTGTATCTGAGTTCCTCTCTTCTTCCCTTTTCTCCCTCCCTTCTTCCCTCCCGTCTCTCTTTCTCTTCTTCCCTCCTGTTGACCCCCCCCCTTCTCTTGTTTTGGACAGAGGCCTGGTGTGTTTTCCAACCTGACCTTGTATTTACTATCCTTCTACCTCACTTTTCCAAGCTCTGGGATTATAGGTGTGTGCTACCACACACACACACACACCCGGAGGGGAGCCTTTTCAAACACCTGTGAAATCCCAGACACAGGGCAGGAAGGCATTTATTCTGATTACATAGTGATGGCTTTAGCCAGGTGGCTGTATGTCTTGGCTCAGGATTGTCTCGTTGGGAAGCTTGGGGAAGGCTGTCTGGAGAATGCAAGCAAGGAAGCCCTTGGACGAGCCCAGTCATTTGTTATCGTTATGGAAAAACACAATGTGTGCAAGCCCTTGGGTCTGCCTGGATGCAGAAATGACTCGGTGGTTATGATGTCATCATTTGGAGAACTTCATTTTTCTTTTCGATCTTCAGAGGTTAAGTGGAAACAACAGTGCGACCCCTACCGCAGTAAGAAGAGTCTATTTATGAGCTCACAATGGTAGCACTAAATGATAAACTATGGACATGTTTTTCTTTAGATAAAAAGGAATCATGTATAAGATCATTTTAGGCTAGAGAAAGCCTAAATGTGGATTGGAAGAATGCACATCTTCATTGTTAATACACACTACAATTTTTAGGGCAATCGAATATGACCATGTTAACCTCTTCACGAACCATCTTGCTTATAATAATTTCTTTTTCTTTTTGGATATTTAGTAACTGAAAGGACTGCAAGCTGATTTTCTTGTTGAGGGGCATGTTAATTCATTAATTTTGGAGGAAAGAGCTGTAGAAAGCCAATTCATTCAAACTATTAGAGAGTTATCGTCTTGTTATCAAAGGATGGCTTGAGTAATGAACTTAGCTATGTAAATAAGAGAATCACACCAATACCAGTGATAGAATAATTCCAGAAAATACAATAGAAGTTCACATTTACTGAAGGCTTATTGTGTACCAGGCCCAGTACTAGGTGCCATGTGAGTGACAGCTAATCTTTTCAGCCTGCTGTGACAAACATCAACGCTATCCTCATTTTACAGAAGAGAAAACGAATGCGTGAGGTTCATTAACAAATCTGAATTCAAGCAGAAAGAATTAGAGCTGTCATTCTCCATGCCATAGGTCTGTACAAATACACACACATTATAGGCCTCTTAAAGTCTGAAGGAGGAGGCGTTGGTGACTTTTCTTAGTAAGTTATGATTTCAGGTGTGGTAGTTTACTTTTCTAATCTTAATACTCAGGAGATAGAGATCAAGATTGTGGTTTAAGGCACATAGCCTCTGAGGCTGCATTTCAAGAAACAAACCAGGCACAGAGGCACATATCAGTAGTCCCAGGTTGCATAAGAACTTGCAGTGCCTAAATAGATCGTTTACTGGAGATTGCTCTGATTTCTTTTTTTATTTTATTTATTTATTATTGTGAGAATACCATACAGAGGAGTTACAATTACACGGGCAAGATAACGAGTATATTTCTTATCAAGCATTGTTGCCTCCTCTTTGTTTCCCCTTCCCATCCCTTCCCATACTCCCCTTCCTCCCCCTACCCGATCCTCCCCACCCCACCAAAGTTGTAAAGTTCGTTTTTCGACATAACGACTTGTACATCTCATTGTTGCAATGGGTCCACCTGTATCCCTAAACAATTTTTTAAGCCCTTGTTGCTGTAAATTTTCCTCTTAGCACTTCTTTTGCTGTGTCCCAAAGATTAAAGTAAGCTGTATTTTCATTTTCATTGTGATCTAGATTTTTTGTAAGTTTTCTCTCTCATTTCTGCCTTGACCGACTCATCAGTTGGCAGTCTCCATGTGCTTGAGTGATTTCTCTGATTTTCATTTTTGCTCTTATTTCTAGTTTTATTCCATCGTCATGATAAAGCAAAGTTCTTTCTATTTTTCTTGTTTCATTTGTTAGAACTTGTCCTCTTAAAATACAATCTATTTTGGAGGAAGTTCCCTGAAAAGAATGGCATCTTCAACAGCTGTTGGGCTGAATACAATGCAGAGATCGGCTAATTTTATTTAACCTATCGTATCATTCCTTGTTAAGTTTCTTTGTTGATCTTTTCTTTAGGCTGCATGTCCCATGTGTTTCTGAGCCCAATCTGTAGCTTTGTCAGTGTTCGGTGCTCATGTAGAATGAGCAGAGGTGGGGTGCAGTGCTCTCTCTCACTGCTGGACTGGCTCAGCACCCAAAGTTGGGCCATATGCTCAGACCACCAGGTCTGAATCCTGGCACCACACAGATAGAAGAGAACCCGCTGGAGTCTCTTGTAGTTGCTAGTGTTTGGATAGAGGCTGGTCAAGATTTAGATTCCTAAGTGCCTTTCCTGAGACAAATTACTACAGACTAATCACAAACTGATTTTTCATTTTGTGCGTGCTGGTACTGGGGACTTGAACTCAGAGTCTTATGCTCTTGCTTGACTTTTTTCCTCAAGTCTGGCATTCTACCACATGAGTCACACTTCCCTTTCTGGCCTTTTGCTACTTGAGGAAAACTAGTACTCATGGACTTTCCTTCCTGGGCGGGCTTCAAACCTCAATCTTCAGATCTCAGCCTCCTGAGTAGCTAGGATTCCAGGCACGAATCACTGACACCTGGATGATTTTTCTTTGTAAAGAATAAAATAGTATATTAAAGGATCATTGTGTTCACTTCTTTCGCTTACATTTGAGATGTCCAGTTACAAAAATTCACTTTGAAAGGGCCCTACAAGATTCATGACTCTCTCTAAATTAATCTCTTACTTTTACCAGTTTGATTGCAAAAGTAGAAATAATGACTTAAAAAAAACCCACCAAAAATCATAATGCTTTCTCTGTTTTTGTTTAGGTCATACATTGCAGATCCCAAGGCAAAATTTTCTCTATGAAGCAAAATTTCTCATTGCCCAACATTATGTGAGCTTAAAAGAGGTTAGTGCTTTACATGTTTTACATTTATGTAACATTATTATTATTGTTATTATGTTTAAGTTAAGAAAACCCTATATTTGTATACTGTAATGGTTAATCCAAGAAACTGCATGAACACTTGGTCTCCTGTTGGAAATGAAAGCCTCAGTAGCTTGTACAACATTGATTTCAAGTAGCATGTGAAAATGTGAGTTTTCAGTTATGCACATTTGGCCCAACTGTTAATGTTTCCTTCTGATGAATTATAATGGAATGCCTCAGATTATCATCACAAGTAAATATCTCTTTCACACTACTTAAGACACAGTGAAAGTGAGTGATATACCATGAAAGGCATCCTGATCACAACATGCTTACAGGAGTTTTCTCATGTCACTTGGTGCTAGGACTGTCTGTGGGCCGTCTGATAGCTCTTGTGGGGAAAGACTGTCCAATTAGAATGTTGAATCTCCAGCTAGGAGCACTGTGCCTAGACCAATAAATATTTTCTGAATGGTGGAGTAGAAGGGGTGGAAGGGAAAGGGAGGGGGTGAGGTGAGGTGGGGGAGGGTCAACACAGGGGAAACATTTTGGAGGACCGGAAGTACATTTTGGAGGACCGGAAGTACATTTTGGAGGACCGGAAGTACATTTTGGAGGACCGGAAGTACGGAGTAGGTCTGAAATCTGAGGAAAGAACAGCTGTGATGACCAATAGACTTCTCTGGAGAGAGGGGAAGGCAGGGGATTTCAGAACAGTTTACTGGGTACCTTTTAAAAACCGAATTCTAAATAAAAAGCACAAGTGTTTTGTGAGCATTCTTTTGGTAGGCATGGGATGGTAATGTTTCTGTTGAGTGGTTCTTTGTGTCAGGGTTGGCCAGAGGTGGTTTTATGCTGAGATAGGCCAGAGGTGGTTGCAGCTAACTTCTTTCCTCTAAAAATTACAAAAATTACAAAATATAATCAGTTATATTGATCGATTTCACTAACAGATATATGGAATGAAGGCCTCACCGTGTTTAGAACTAGAAACAGGTGCTTTAGAAACTTGACCTATCTTAGGACTTTTATCTAATAATAATATCCTTTCATTCCATCTTAAGTTACCTGGCAAAGCATAATATCAGCATAATACCAACATATTACCAACACAATCATAGCAATATCTCACTGGCACCAGTTGTCGTCAACAATGAGATTTGGCAATAAGTCCAAAGAGCAATGTTGATTGGTTGGAAAATGAACTATCAAAGCACTGGGGCTGTGTTCCTCTCCCACAAAGGGAGTGAGAGGGTTTGAAAGCATATCCTCGTGCAGGAGATGATCTGCAGACGCTCCCTCCATAAACCTTCACTTTCTTGCAGGCTGGCTGAGACCTTCTTTCTCTGGGGGAAATTATTAACGTTTTATAGACATTGAAAAGTTCTTCAATGATGTCTGAAAAATAATTGAATTCGTCTACATCTGGTTGCAAACTTACTGTTTTAAAAATCAACTGTGAACCTGTGTTTAAACACATCACATTAAAAGAGAGAGTTGTTTTAAAATGAATATTTCTTTTGATGTAGACTGTGAATTTCATGCTTGTGAAGGGCTTTGCAGAGTTGCATAGAATAGCGTTGGGTTCTGCTGCTCACTCTCAAGTGCTCTTTGCACTATGTCTTCTACCACAAGGTGCTTTGGTTCATGTAATTAGTGAAGGTGCAATTTTATCTTGATAAAATTTTCTAGGTAATCTTATTGATTTATTGACAATGTGAGATGGCTTTCATTAAGTCATGAATACTAAACTTAAAATACTTTCATTTTATTCATAGAATGAAGTTCCAGGCACTTCGATAGATGTTTTCAAAAATAAATATCCCAAATCAAATTTTGTCAGATATGTACCTTCGAAGATTAAAAAGACCAAAACACCTGATGTGGTCCAAGAACACAAGGCAGTACTCCGAAGTATTTGTTTTCCCCAGATCCTTCCCCAAGAGGGACATTTTAAGAAGCCATCTGTCTTTAATATAAAGGAAAGGTACCCGACGGTAAATCTTTTCACAAAAGGTCAGTTTTGAGAGACATAAAAGAGATGCAGTAATTAACAGTAAAACTGTTTTGTTTATCTCTAGTAGGATTTCCTTGTTTCTATACTACCCCAAACTTTAAAGTCTAGCAATGAGAAATAGGAGGCATGATAGTAAGGCTTCTGGGCTTTGGGAGCCTCCAAACTGTCAAGGCTAGAGTGTTATCATGACCAGAGCATCCAAACCAAGGGTGTGCAGCAGGGAAAGGGGAACTTAGGGGACCCAAACTGGCTTGTGTGTCCTTCAGCTGGGATGTTCTTTGCAGTAGAGATGCTCAGACACCGCTTATTTCTCATTAGCCAGAGCAGTCTTGAGTGTATAGGCCTGAGTTCCATTGCTGAATGGGGTAGGAAGGGCAGACGAACTATTTGTAACTTGTTTCTCCAAATCTCTAAAAGGATTTTTGAGCACTTGAGGATTTCCCCTGAAGACAGTTTATGGTAAAGGTATATTCTCTGTTAGCAACTGAGTAAGGTGCAAGAGAGGTCTATTTAGACAAAGTGGTATGGTTTTTCTCAGAGTAGTGGTGGTGTAAATTACGTCCGATGACACATTTTTAGTTACAGATTTTAAAACTTTATCTTAATTATCTCTTGGTTATGTTTATTTAGTCATTCTTTTTTCATTCAACAAGGGAGTGTACTCTGTGCTGGGTACTATGTTCAGAACTGAAGAAATAAATGCTAAAAGACTCAGAGCAATGGAGATGACATCTGTAGCTCATTATTATTATTCTCTATGCTGTGATCATTAGAATAGTGGATGGTCCAGCCAGCTCTTCTGCTCTGATGTTAACAGGAGCAGACCTCATCAGATTTATCAGTCAGGAATGGATTCCCAGGAAATTTAATGCTTTTAATAAAATTAGAAGGCTGAATAAATGTTAGTGCAAAAAAAGGGCCCAGCATACACACCTGTGTGTAGAATTCTGGTATGTTTGAGGTATGGTATGTTTAAAATGATTTTATATAACTGAAGCGTGAGGATTTGGGATTGATTAGAGATAAGAAAGTAGGTATTGATAAATTTTGACTTTTCACCTAAAAGAGGATAGCAGTTATACCAATACCTTCAAAAAAAGTTGCAATGATCACAGTTTCTCCTGTTTCCGGGTGGTAGAGACTGGTGTGATAATCTGTGAAAATCTCTGGATAAACAGAGACCAGTAAGGAGACACTAATTCGCCTAACGAAGGAGGACTTAAATTCAGGCAGTTGCACTAGGGCTAGAACTGAGAGAAAAGATTGACAGACAGCAGAGAGGCAGTCATCTAGATTTGTCCAACAACAAGGTAGAGCCTAAGAAGCAGGAAAGAGGACTGGTATGGTGGGGCACAATTGTAGTCTCAACTACTAAGGAGTGATTGCGAGAATCACAGTTGGAGGCCAACCTGAGGCAAAACAGGAGACAGTCTGAGAAATAACTAAAGCAAAGAAAGGCCTGAGAGGCAGTCTTAGGACAGAGCACCTGCCTACCATGGATGGGGAGGCACAGAGCCGTGTATGTATGAGATACACACACCCGTTCACGAGGATGGAGATGCATCTTGCACGATGGTATAATGGCTGCAGGGAGCAAATTGCACTGTGGATCATATCCAGCACTGGGTTATGAGATTTGGGGGAGGACGTTTAGAATTAGTATTCAAATAAAATGTTGGTGGTCCCTGGTGGCCTTTAGGAAGTTGTGATTCAAAAAAAAACAAAAAAGAATTATACTAAGAGAAGTTCTAGCTAATTGGCAAAGAGATGCAAAATCTTTAAGCAGATAGCCACTAAAACTTACCCTTGAAGCACAAATCATATGAAGGGGTAGAAAATAAGAACCAGGTGAAAGTGGAGCTCTAGCACTAACTGGTAGAACACTAGTCTTGAGCAAAAAGAGCTCAAGGATAGGACCCAGGCCCTGAGTGCAAGCCCATGACCACAAAAACAAAGAAACAAACAAAAAGAACAAGTCAATCCAAATGGGAAATGCTGAAAACAATCTGTGTCCTTAGGGAAATAAGAATTGTTAGAATAGGAAGATGTGGGGATGGAGGTGGCAGGTTGGTGTAGAAAGACTATAGTAAGAATATTGGTTTAGCTGGTAAGAAAGGTCTTGAGTGATTTAGGGCACAGGGAAAGATTTGAGAAGTGATATAGGGAAACGTGGAAGCCAATGGATCCACAGAGATGGATATAAACAGCAAGAGGAGTGGCAAGGTCAGTTTTCTGAAGGTCTCTTATAGAAGAGGAGGAAGTAGTTATAATGGCGGGGTTGTTGCTTCAGCATTTTGTAATGGAACATGGTATGTGAGGAGGGAGTGAAAAAATGCAGCAAGAGCTCCAAGACAGTGGGACTCCTCAGAAATCCAATTGTATCTCTGCTCAGGTCAGAGACTTGAGAAGCCTACTACAGAGCTGGGAAGTTCATACATGAATTAAATCTGCAGTTCATTTCTCCAAGTTCTTATCTCACACCTTATGCATTAGATCTGTATCTTAGATCTATTTCTTAAGCACATTTTCAATATTCAGGTTGAATAGAAGCATGGTCTAGGATATCAGTGACATGCATTGTAGGACTTAATTAAAGTTTGCAAGATTAGAAAGCAAAGTCTATCCTGCATTGCTAGCATGAGTGCTCTCCACTGAGGCTAGCAAAATGCGTTTGCATTTCCTTGTGTACACTGAGTATCTTATGTGGAGGCTGGTTAACTATCTTCTTGAATTTGATCCAAGGATCTCAATTTTAAAATATACTGTAACAATTAAATCCTTAGCACTTATGTTCTTCATGCTTGCTTCTTTTACTTAATAGTGTGAAATGAAGAAAAACAGGAAATGATTTCCTAGTTGTGACCTTGAGCTCGGAGCTCTGCTTTGAGCTCTGAGCTTCTTTACAGATCTGATTCACCAGACTTGCTTGCCATTCTGGATTACTGAATGTTATTAGAACTTGGAATTATTACATTATCAAATCTATAGTGTTAGAAATTAAAAATCATGTCAAAACCCATTTTTATTAAATATTAGCTCATGCTTATTTAGAATTCATCTATTTATATATTATCTTGGGAATGGAAATATTTATTTTTTGCTTCAAAAACAGACTTTTAGATTTACAGAGTTACATACATGTCATTCAGGCTGATATTGAGTCTTTCCTGGAAAGAAGGAGGGAGGGAGGGATGCAGAAGGAGAGAGAAGGGGAGAAAGAGAAAGTATCTGAGAAAAAGAGAAAAGAAGGGAGGGAAAAGATGTGTGTGTGTGTGTGTGTATGTAATTGTGCATGTGAGTATATGGGTTCTTTGGTTTTGAAATCCTCAATCTTTCCTGAGTACACTGAAGGTTATGAGCTTCCTTCCTGAGTCGAGGCCTTGCTACGTAGCACAAGCTCCTCACACCTGCTCTGATGGTGTGTTGAAGCTTTTTCACCAAGGACTGTTGAAGACATTACCTGAATGTATGTGAATCAGTGAATTGCTCCCTTTGAGAAAACAGTAGCACCAGCTCAAAACAGAGGATCTAACTGCATAGGTTCAAATCCAAGCTTTGCCACTTGGTCATTTCTTTTCTGCACTGAAGATAATTTTGTGTGTTGGTTGTTATTAGAGTTGCAGTGGAATCACATTTCTATCCAATTATTATAGGAGAAAATTTCTCTTGAGATGTGTGTAGCAAGCCAGAAGTGTCTACCCAAAGATATCAGATTCCAATTTCTAGAATCTATCATGTTCCTTTATTGTGAAAAAAGTCTCATCCAAGTATATTTTTTTTGGATATTTGAGGTGTGGAGATTTTCCTGGACTATCTAGGTAGGCCTTAAATATATCACAATTGTCCTGCACAGAAGGCAAGAGTCTATTAATACATGAAGGAAGGATCAGTGTGAGGTTGCCATAAGCCAAGGACTGCAGGGAGTCTCCAGTGGCTGGGAGCAGGAGGGCTGGATTGATCTCAGAGCTTTTACAGGAAAGCATTCTGACCACCTCCTTGAGTTTGGCTTGAGGGCCTCCAGAGTCAAGAATGAAGTTCCTATTGTTTATTTTCTTATTATCTTTGAGTAGGTGTACAAATGAATTGCCGTTTAACAAAGCAGTTTGTGAAGACAATATATCTTGCTCAATGTTGCCCCTGTCAACATCCTCACCCATCCTTCCCAACCCACTCCTTCCCTCACTCCTAATTTCGAGGATATACATTGGATTCTTTTTTTTAATTTAAATTTTATTGCAAAGGTGATATAGAGAGGGGTTGCAGTTATATGTCAGGTAATGAGTACATTTCTTTTTGAACAGTATTATCCTTTCCCTCACTTTCTTCCACTTTTCCCCTCCTATCCCCCTCCCTACCAAGTTGTAAAGTTCATTTCCAACAAAGTGTCTAGTTAGTAATTGTTGAATCGGTTTCCCCTTTGTCCCCACATTTCTGTGATTCCCTTTCCCTTCCCCAAGTAAGTTAGACTTATATAAAGACAAGGGGTACAGAAGTACAAAACAGTGACATCAGAGAATAAACCAAAGGGGGAAAAAAGAGATGTAACTGCGAACAGGACAACAAAATAAACCCCTCTTGCTTCCATTTCTTGGAGTTCTGTTGATAAACATCATTTTATATAGTCATATGTAGTCCTCTCCTAAGAATATCATAGACGTAGTCTAGTTAATACAAGTGAGGGAAACCATGAAGCTGATGTTTCTTTGGGTCTGGCTTACTTAGCTTAATATAATTTTTTTCCAAGTCTTCCATTTCCTTAGGGCAATGTCATTTTTCTGATGGAAGCATAGAATTCCATTGTGCATATATACACCACATTTTCTTGATCCATTCATCCACAGAGAGGCATCTGGGTTGATTCTATATCTTAGCTATGGTAAAATTATACTGCAATGAACATGGTTGTACTGGTATCTTTAGTGCCAGCTGGTTTGTGGTCATTTGAGTAAACTACATTGGATTCTTGATTGCATTCTTCCACTCTTCTCTTCGTCCATCC